GTAGCTTGCCTCCACCAGTGTATGAATGTGAGAGTGAATGAATAGTGGTATTGTAAAGCGCTTTGAGGGGTCCCGAAAAGTGCTATATAAATGCAATCCATTATTATTATTATTATTATTATTATTATTATTATTATTATTATTATTAAAATAAACTGTTGTAAAAAAAAGCATTACCTGACATTAACCTGAAACCTGAAGCCTAGACTACCCACAATGACACTTGACAATCAACTGTTCAGCCAGAGCACTAATGCAACTAGTAGCAGTAGTAAATGAAAAGTCTTTGGTAACATAGATCTGATAAATTTACTTCTTGTCAGATTTGTTGTCTTCATTCAAAACCAAAATGATAGCAATTAAGACAGTAACGCTAGCTTGTTCTAAAAGAAGGAATCTATGTCAACACATGGCAAATGACTAATATTCCATCTGCTATATGTACTCCTCAAGACCTCAAATTAGACTTTGATTAAATCTGTGGAGTTCTAACTGTTTTCTTCAGCTTCACATTCAGTATACACCATGTGCTGTACGTGATGTTTTGTCTTGGTTCCTTTTACGCGGGTTATTATTTGAATTTATTGCAGTAAAAGCAGACAAAGCCACTAATGATGTCAAAAAATAAATACTAAAAGTCTAAACTAAAACCTAAAAAGTAAAATCCAAATATATTTAATTGTCACCAGTCGAAAAAAACAACTATAATTACGCTCACTATGGATTTGTTTAGATTTGTGTGCATTTCATACAGATACTTAATCCTTTCTCCTTCTGTTTCCAACACTGAGTACATAGTAGAAAATGAAAAAAAAAAGTTTCAAACACAGCTTGAGCTTCAACGTTTCCACAGAGAAAACATCTGCCATGGTTCAAACATGGCAAGGGAGCCCACGAGAGAGCGTGGGCACAGTAATCCACCAAACTCACATCCGCAGAGAAAAAGAAGATGAGTGATTAGACACAGAGGCAGTAAACTATCCTGAGGCAGTACTGTTAAAGAACATTTTTGATATGTAGGGGTCGTTTAATAGCCATTCTTGCCCACGAGCCGATAATTAGCCCATTTCATCTGTGTTAATGTATGATAATGGCTACTGTCATGCAACTTCTGAAAATGCATAAATTCATATCCCTTGGTTATTTTCTTGGCCAAGAAGTCTGGCGGTGATTTAATAAATGCAGAAAATGATGTTTAAACATTTTTATGATGACCAACAAAGTTTTAACAGCCAGTTATGCGTAAAATAGATTTTACAGTCTTGTGTATTTAGGCTTACTACCGCAAAAGACGAGTTGCTTCAGCATGATGCAAATATTATTTTAACTTTTATACTGCAGTTTACTGCTTTCAGAAAGAAAAACACAAGAAGCCGACTTACAGAAGAGAAGTTGTGAGCTCCACATGGCTCTCCTCTATATTTGCAGGACAGAAGCATGTCATCCAGTTGGTGGCTCAGTCTGTCCATAAACTCCAGGTTGGTCCCTTCAAAGTTTCTGGGTGGGAGAAAGAGCCTGAAGTCTGACAGTTTCTTGAACCAGGTGCGACGGTCCTCCTGAAGCAAGTCCAAAACCATGGGTCTCACTGTCCGGTTAGCAAGCAGCAGGCCCAGCCAGTGGCCAGCAAAGTACAGGTCACTCTTGGTGAGTTTGTAGAGGCGGATAGGGTTATTGTTACAGATAGTGACTGTAGGAAAAGCCAGTTCTTTGGCCCATTCAGTGTGGACTCGCGTGTATGTGGGAAAGGAAAGCCAGTGGAGTAAGCGGTTGGAGGACCAAGATAAAAGCAACCCTACAGAGGTGCAGAGTGCCAGAAGCCAGAAGGCCCTGCGGCCCACAGAGCCACCAGGGACGCAAATATGCCGCAAACCGTGTAGGCGTGTCCTTGACAGCAGAGTGGAAGTGACCTGGGCCAGAGTTGGCTTCGGATGAAGCCGCTGACGGCCTTTTCTGATCATGGCCGGGGATCCCCTCCGGAGACAGCGCCCTTCCAAGGCCATCGCTGTCCACAGTGCTCCTAAAGCCGCGGGAAAGGCTTCATTTCCCAGCCAGGCCTCAGGGGCTGGGGCCCACATGTAGCTCCAGGATAAATCCACTACTGTAATCCACACATGGATATGTGTTGGCCCTAAAAAACACTACAGACCTATAGACTTTGAAGTGCATTAACACTGCATGCACACACACACACAAAAAGTGATCTTACGAAAGCTGTGTGTTTTGAAGCTGCCTTCTCTTATTGGTGCAGGAGCTCTTTTGAACTGAGGAGCAGCTACTTGTTGGTCATTTCTCTTGGTCTCTCCATGTGAGAGCGCTCCAATCATCCAGCTCAGCAGGGACAGAAAAAAAAAAAAATCAGCTAGGCAAATGTGCTCCAAGCAAGGTGTCTTCTACATGAATGACTCCAGCATCCACGGCAGTTAGGGTGACAGTGAACAAGAGAGGATGAGACAGAGAGAGCGAAGGCAAGAGGAAGAGGGAGGGGAGGAGAGAGGGAGAGAAGAGGACAGAATACAAAATACCACGGGCTTAGTACAGAGGACAAAAAACAAATGAAAGAAGGGAAGGTAATTAAAATAATGAGATGACAGAAGACAGAATTGGTTGGTGTGGTGCAGTCCGCGAGAAGAGCCGTGTTCCAGCGCTGTGCTTTGTCTTCTTTTGGGTTAAGTATGTGTTTTTGAGCTTCACAGCTTTGCAGAAGCATTCATCAGCCAGAGGCAGCAATCACTTCCTTGTCACTATTAAGCATGTGGTTTAATTGAATTCACAAAAGTCTACGATCCTCATTTGTTTTCTTCTCCCACTTTCTTTAGTTCTTTCTGATGTCACTGATCCGCTCCTCGTCTGTCCCCGAACTCGGTTTTCACCGGCGTTATTAGGTCCTGCAGGTAAACACGGGACGGCTTCATCGTGCAGCGGACCCGCTTCTCAGCAGCGCGGCCACAGTTAGAGACGTACCACAACACACTTTCACATGGAGAAGGAGGCACTCATGCACGTACACGGACAAACACTCACAGCGGTTTCCTGCGGGAAACCAGACCAGAGATAATCTGTTCTGTCACACTCACATCTCAACATCTCTCCCCCCTTATCTGTCTCCTGTTATTCTTTCTTCTTCTTCTTCCCCCCTAGTTTTTTCTCCCCCACTCACAGACAGGATCTCTAATCTCAATATTCCCCTCATGTCTCCGCTCCTCCTTCTAAAAATACTCTCTCCAAATCAAATCCATCAACTTGCCCTCATGCTCCTCCTCCTCTTGTCTTTTATGTCAGTCAAGCCCCGTAAGCTCGACCTCCTGTCGGGCACCCCCACCTCCTCCTCTTCTTCTTTTTCACTTTGTCCGAGCACTCCCTTGCTTTTCTTCCATCAGGAAAGGCTTCTGTGTGCGCTTTCCTCTCTCCGTGTCCTTGTCAGCTTCATCCAGCTCGCTCCCTCTCCCTGGTCTGAATGACTTCTCTCCTCTCCGTGATCTCTCTTTTTTCTCCCCCTCCCTCTCTCGATGTCTCTCACGCTTTTGCTCCTCTGTTTTGCTCTGCTTTTCAGGCAGCTTGTCCCCCCATTGCTCTTCTTCTCCTCCTCCTGCGCCACAGCTCTGTCCACGCAGCCGGTGAGCCCGTCACTGATGAGAGCGCCTGTCTCTCTCTGTGCTAACTTGCGCCGTCCTTCGCCCCCCTCTGTTTGTCTGCTGCTGCTGCTGAGCCACACAGCCTCAGAGCGATGAGAGGCTGCTGTGTGCACGCAGTGCACAAAAGCCACGCGTAGAATCTCTTGTTCTCTGGGTTAATTTTTTTTTATCTCATTCTTTTAATCCTTTTTATTTAATAGAGATTTTAAATTTGTTTGGAAAAACTGGATTGGAATAAAATGGATTATGCACTCTTTGCCGACTTTAGCTTTAGTCTTTTAGCACTTTGTCTAGTAAAGGGACCGTCTTCCCTCAGCTAAGGACCTGCTCATTGAGATACACTGGAATTTTCTCTTAACTTTAACGTGAAATGGACCACTAAACCTTTGACATTTTAGTCTAGCAAAATAATAAGCGAAAATAAAATTATATATACACATATTTTTCTTTTGATTAATTCCAAGCTGCTCGTACATTTGTCCTTGTTCCTTAACCTGAGTTTAGATCGCAGGTTAAGGAACAACCACTGATTTTTTTTTGTTATGTCTTTTAATATCTCAATAGCAAAATTGATGTGACCCAAATAGACACTCTGGTTTTGGTATGTTTAGTGCTATGAATTGAAAAAACTATTTAAATCATTCATTTTTACTTTCACATTTTTTATTTATATGGTTCTTTGTAAATAGCGCTGGTGGCCTCTGTAGTTCTATAAAGACAACGACCTTAATACATACCAAGCAAGGCTGCATATTCAATTCTCTGAGAAAGCTCATTTTATTTTTCATAAAACGTAGAGGCATAGTTCAGTCTTTGAGCGTGTCCTTTGTGGCTCTGAGCAAAACAACCTTCCACACAACAAAATGTTATCTTATTACTTCGTTTCTGATGTAAACCCACCTTTTGTACCATTTTTTTCCTTTTTTAATGGTGAAGGATTATTGCATTGCTGGTCTGCAAATATCACTTGCGCCAACAAGCACTCTCCGTTTAGGACAGTCAAGTTAAATAGCCTTCGTCAATGCAAGTAAACAGACAGCTTCAGAGCCAACTCGCTGTAAGGGCTCTTGTTCACCGAGTTCTGCAATGCATGGTTTTGTAAAATTCAAGGTTTCACTCATTAACATTCAGTAATGTTCTTGTGCCAATTATAGAGGAGACCATTTTCTCCCTGTGTGATGAAAGCTATTTTTCCATTTCATTTAAATTTTTTAGATTGCTTCATTAAACTCCCCTAAGCTGCTCTCTGTTTCTACAGAAAAATGTAAAATAAAGCTCAGAATATAACCCCGTCTATATAATTTGTCAGAACCTGCAATGTGTGGTGGTGGCTCTGAATAATTATCACGATATTAGATCATTTCTGTAGTTGTATATAATAAATGCCAGAGACCAAACGAATTAATATAAAACGGTCTCTTGACATCACGGGGTGAATATCGAACTCCGCGTGTGGGTTTGACATGATTTTGACTGGAACCGTGTTGCTTTTCGCCGTTCAGCTGAAAGTTCTCGAACGCTGCTTGACAACTTCTTGTGATCTCATCTTTGAATGCGTAATGATAAGACATTTTTTTTAACTTTGAACTATAAAGCCCACACATAAGTTTAAAGAAACATTTAAGGCTGTCAAGAGAAATTAGCACAGAAATCCAAACTGGCATGTGCTTCGCATTTGCACACATAATGAAGCGCATCGTTCCCAAACAGCAAAACGTGCACTGTGAAAACGTTAAAACGGGTCCATGTATAATGCATAACCAGCAAAAATACAAAGAACAGGAACACAGTGTGAAATCTGAAATGTCAAATGCGTGCATGCATACGTATTGCTTCTAACGCCTACTGTATGCTATGGTGGAACGCATAAGCACGCACACATTCACTGCCTACAGCTAGAGGCAGAGGCAGCCTTCCAGAGCTTGGATCCACAGGCTGAATAATTAGCTTGGAGCCATAAAGAGGGTTTCTCAGTCCAGCTATGCAGCCAGTGTAACGAACAGCTCAAAGGCTCAATATATCCAATTTGCAATTCTAAAACATAAGGGAAATCACAGATTAATTAGGGACACAGCCAGCCCAAACATCAGATACAATTAGACCGCATTGTATAGCTGCAGCACCGTGGCATGTGAGTCCTATAAAATAATCCGGTATGTTTTAGTCGAAGGCACTGTCACAAGATCAAAGGCCACATAGTGGCAAACTGGCAGCGAGAAAGCAGCCTGTAAATACAAACCACAATTAAACATTCATAGATTCATGTTAATGAGGCCTAGAATGTTTCAGAAGCCTGCATTAAACACTTAATAGTTAAACAGGGCGAGGTTGTAGCTGATTCACAAGAGGGCAAGCTCCACGCTGGCCTTGTTGGTGAATGCACAGGTGAGGCTGTGTCAAGGGCAAGCAGGAGAAAGACACAGGAGGCAAAGGAAAACAGTATACATGCGCTGGGATGCCATTAATCAAAACCCCGGCTTAATTTAAAATGTTAGCGGTGGCAGGCGAAGCAATCAGTGGCTTTTTCTGAGCTGTTAGACTTTTCCAAACTAACGGCAGCAACACTTGTCATCAAGAGAAAAAAGCTTAGCAGGCAGCTTCACTTTCCATCTTCCAGCTGGACATAAAGCTTTTATTTTTTTAATACAAAGATAAGTCCCTGGGCAGCTACTGATTAAAACTTAAAGACTGATGTCTCATGGTAGCAGCTCATTTAATCATCATTCCATCTAATAGCTGTTGTCAGGGTTCATAGAACCATCTAGAGATAGCTTCCTTTGTGATGTGACAGAGGTTTGGCTTGGACTTGTCTATCATCTTCGAGTCTGTGTCAGGGATAACAACATGTTGAGGTGTGGCGCTCATTTGTGGCCAGAAAACTGGCTCCAGTGAAATCCTCAGCACGTTCCCCATCAAAGAATTCATATACTCAAACAAAGGTAGTGAATGCTGCTGTGCTCATCAATTTAGCTTAATTGATTTAACCTTAAAACAGCTGCTGCCTTGCATTAACACGAAAAGTGTCTTTGATGTAGCTGATGCAGGCAGAACTGTCCTCCGGCATTCTTCTCCTGTAGAAGGCAGTCTCTTTGGTTTATAGCAACACCTGCTCTAGATATTTTTTGTGTGTAAAGATGAGCCAGACTAAACCTTTACTAAACATTTCTCTGTTATAGACCTTTCAGTGACTTATTCTTACATTTATTCTTACACCCACTGAAATGCATTTTCTGTAAAACCTACACAGTGTTCACACCATTTTTATCCAAGCAGTCACTCTTTTTCTGTTAATCAAAAACACTGACCTCAATAGTAGTCAAAATCTTATCAGTGTATTTTTAAGCAACATTTTTTTTTTGCTCTATAAAATTCTGAGGATTAAGCTAAATAAATCTGATATTAGGGCTGCACGATTAATCGTTAGAAAATCGCGATCTCGATTC